GAAATGAGTGCAATTGTACGGTAGTTGGAGCATTCTTTGGCACTGCCCTTCCTTGGGATTGGTATGTAGACTGATCTTTTCCAGTCCTCTGGCCACTCGTATGCCAACTTAATTGTTGGTATGCCAAATGGCTTGTCAATTCTCAGGGCTGCGAGTTCAGATGCTCCCCACGCGGAGGTGATGGCCACAAGGAACACAGTTTTAAGGGAGAGTAGGTGTTGTGAGGCAGTGGCAAGAGGTTCAAAAGGTGGCCTCCAGAGGTAGTGGAGGACGAGGAAGAGCGACCATTGTGGAGTGGGCAGTTGCAGAATATGCTAGTCAGAGGATTTTTTTCTTCTTTTTCAGTTTAGAATGGGTCAAAGTCATAGGAGGTTTGGCTGCCGGGGTCGTTTAAGTCGCATATTTTACGGTGGATTTGTGTTTGGATACTTAACACGCCTTAGAAGGGGTTGGAGAAGCATCATGTGCAGGAGGAACTGGAGTCTCCGCGCTGGGCAAGGGCTCCATAATTGGAGGGGGCTGGAGGGACTGTTGCCAGAGAAAAGATCACAGGCGTTGCTCTCTAAGTTTAAGTGCCTGTTTCCTGAAGCTCTTACAGATCGAGCAGGAAGCGGTCTGGTGCGATTCCCCCAGGCAAAATAGGCAGGTTTTATGGCCGTCTGCGATCTTATTCGGGCACTTAGCACACTTTTTGAAGGGGGGTGCCATAAATGGCTGGGGGAGGGAAGGGAAGTGAGGGGGGCTTTGGATAAAGTCTCTTACTATTTAGACACAAGGAAAAGATGAAGATTAACAAAAACGGTGTTCTTTTTAGGAGTCGGAAGCGACAGAAGAGCAGCAGCTCGAAGAGGAGACCTCATGCGGTGGCGGCAAAAAATAACTGAGGTAACTCTGAGGGCGGGTGGACCTCATAGGCTGAGGGGGCAGGGCATTCCTTAACAGCCTTAAGCTCTAGAATATTCTGGAGATCTCTGCACAAGCGCAGACTTAAACCATTAGTGTGCATTCACAGAGACCATGAAGAAAAACATAGCAGTATCATCCCCCCCAAAAAGGGGAGAGGCGGTTAACAGCTGCTCCAATATGTTCAGGTTTAAAAGCCAAGAGGGGGCATGAGTTAAAGACGATTCCAAAACGCTGAAATAAGAAATGCAGAATAGTGAGGCTTGTCTAAATTTGAAGGCTTAGAGAGTATGTATCTCTCTGATTAGACTGTTGCAGACATGAGTCCCACATTCCTGATAATAGGATGTCAGCTCTGCAGGTGTCATTTTAGGGTCATCTTTACATTCAAAATGCCAAACAGAGTACTCATCCAGAGGAACTGTTGATTTGGCAGTCGCTACCTGCCACAATACATATTTGGAATAGGTTTCCTATATTCTAATATACTCAGCCTTATTGACAAATGTTTATATGCTTGCCTGAGTGTGAAATGGGAAAGTCATTCAAGAATGGCAAACATTTTAGTAGAATCCATTCATATGGCATTGTGAATGCATTTGGCGCTGTAACTGTAAAACCTGCTGTGAATGTGGAACTAATTTGCAGATTAATTTATCAGGTGAATCATGGCTCTGTTTCAGACCACGATTAATCTTAACGCTTAAACATTCTCTTGCAGGCACCAGTAACAGAAGCAAGACGAAAAAGAGAATCCTGATCTGGTCCCAGATTACAGAGTTTTTAATCATGTTATGTTTCAAATTAATTTCTGCATGCATCACTATTCTTCATCCTTCTCTAAATAAAAGTTTTCCAGGTCATGTTTGGGGGAAAGCCCCTGTGATGAGGTTCGCTCCCTCCCTCAGGCGGCCCCTCATTTTCGGCGAGAAATAATAAAGGCGTAGTCTTTATAACTTTCCAACTGTCAACTTTATTCTCCCCAACTTCACTTCACTTGAAAGTATTAACGGTTCCAACTTTGGCAACAGGCCACTGGTATCAGCAACATAACTTTTATCATAGTCCCATGGACTTAACGGTGTTGTTCACCACGCCATCCCTGGCTCTCCGGTCGTGGGGGTGGGGTCCTCCTGATCGCACAGATCGTCCCACAACATGAGTGCCTTACCCACCCCTTTTCATCTGGACCTTCAGGAAATGGATCATGGGTCTCTCTCCACTCACGCTGCAGCTCAGCTTCCCTAGGCGCCACTATAACAGTCCACTCATGGGTGACCACTCTTCTAGGTCTCTCAGTCTCACATTCCGGATTGGGTAGGAGTCCTCCTACCTTCAAGTTAGGAAAGTCCTTCAAGAGTCCTTGAGTGCATACCCTTTCAAACGCCTTTCTTCCCGCTTCTTTCTCTCGTATTCCTCTACCACCGTACTGAACCACACCACCCCTTCCTCGCTTTTATCCTCCCCCCATACCGATACCTCCTGCTCCACCCACTCTCCCTCTACCAAACAAATCTCTGTCTTTCCCGCCTTCTCTTCAGCCTTCGAATCTCCCGCCTTCTCCTCAACAGCCCCTGTCATCTCACGTTGTTCCCCCTTTTTCAGCTGTTCCTCAGGCTTGACGGCTAAGGACAGCACACTCTTCGCCTCTGCTCCTTCACAGCCCCATTCTGTTAAAATCCTGAGAATGTTTCATAAAGTTGGTCTCTCCTATTAAAGTCATAAGGTTGAATGAAGTCTCACACAGTCAAATGCCACTATCACAGACACTATTGACACTCTAGCCAAAATCCTCTTGCATAGCTACACAGATGATATAGCTTTTGGAGGCAAATCCGTCAAGAAATCAGCATACACATTATTAGTTGTGCGCTGAGTCATTCAACTAAGTATGTAACAGATAATGTTTATGATGATTTCTTTACTTAAGACAATTTGATTCAGAAAGTTTGTGTTTTGTGTTAACAACAGAGTAACCGGGCAAGATGATTTGGGCTTTTGCCTCCCAAGTTAACATAAGGTGCTGCAGTTACAGTATCCATGAGTCTGATTAAACTATATGATAATTTGAAAAGAAAAAGTAAACAAACAATAAAATACAGCTTTAAAATACAGCTTTATTGTTTGTGTAGTGGTGAACTTTTCTTAAAACCCCTCCCAACTGCCACCACTTTGCTCTGGCATATACTAGATCAGGGTGTTGAACATAATTAATTTAAAGCCTCCTTTGCTCCCATTTCAGCTTCTGAACTCACTAGGGCTCCTTTTTTGTCTTAGGGAAGCTTTTGGGATCCTTGAGATGCAGAGAGGGGAGAGACCTTAAGTCAAAAGTCACTGTGCTGGCATGATTCAGCAGTAATATTTGACTTCTAAAGCCTCACACTTTCAAAGGCTTCCACAGGACAAAAGAGGTGAAATGGAATCATAATTCTAGACATAGCTTGGAAAAGTTACTTTTCAGCCTACAGGTCCCCAAAGAGCTTAGCACAGTTACTCCACTTTTAGGCAGAGGATTAGACTAAATGAACTTTAGTATTTTTTTTCCAACTCATCAGTTCTAGGATTTATGCATACAGACACAAGGCAAAGTGAACTTACCTGCATGGACTCTCCTGGCTCACTTATAACAATTGAGGGGATGATCAGATTGTGCATTTTAGAGCAACCTTCTCGAGTTTGATGCCCTCTGGATATACTGGATGACACGTCCCAAAACCTTCAGCAATATTGGGGTGATGGAAGTTGGAGTCTAGCACTTCTGGAAAGCACCAGTTTGGGGAAGGTTGCTCCAGACAGTGAGCAAAGGAAAAGCCATGTATTTCATTGCACAAATGGAACCTGTAACACATAACCAGAGCACATCACAAAGTTCCCAACATATAGCAGTAAAAACTTCAGACATTCATTCAGCATAGCACTGCATATACATAAGTACATTTACACATAAAATCAAGAAATAGCCGTAACCTCATCTATGCTATATCTATATTTGCTGAAATTTGAGACTGTGGATATTCAGGTACATTTACACATAAAATCAAGAAATAGCTGTAACCTCTATGCTATATCTCTATTTGCTGAAATTTGAGACCGTGGATATTCAACAGAGCCAGTCCTGATAATGGTCTAATAAATATATCACCTGCCCTTGCTTTTGTATTGTGCAGGGACCACATGGCTTTATTTATTTGTTTGTTTTTCAGCTATGGGGGAATACCCTGAATCCCAGAGCACCATTTAGAAGATAACATGACCAACATCAGCCAAGCAGGACTGCAAACTGAAGAAAACGTTTGCTTCCAACCACTAAATAATAGGATTCATTTGCCTTCAGTTGGCTTCCACTAGTGGGTGGACCAAATTTTATTCCCAATTCTCTGGTAGGAGCGTGTCGCATTTCTGTGTAGGCTCTCTTCCCATCCATTGAGGAACCTTCCAAAAGAATGTGATGGGGTGGGGGAGTTGCTGAATACATGGCTCCCTCCAACCACTAGCAGTAGAATTTGAAACTCCTGACTTGTGCTTGCAGCCTGCTTTTTCTAAAAGTCTGATCACACCAGTCAAACGTATCCCCGTTATATCCCACTTAATCACTGCATAAATTTCTGGACACACAACACACGGCCATGATTGAATCATTTTCCCAGTCAGCTGTGTATCTGACATTTATTTCCTCCACCTGTGTTACTTTGTTCCAATGACATGTTGGATCATTTCTTACTGGTATTGTATGTGTGAACGTTCCTATCAGGGTTTTTTTTGCTATGACAATTTCATGGGAAAGGCAGCAGCTATTACTGCCATACAGTAGCCCCACGATTAATTTTTTTAATAAAGTTTCGCAGCTGGCATATCAATATGTCGGCAAACGCATTCCAACAACTTTACAGCTGGGGAAGTCCCCCAACTCTGCCAAGTATGCCAGGGCATTGATAAGTTTTTCATCACTCTACCTACTGTCTGGCATGGGGGGGGGAACGAGCCCATTGTGTGCAATGCATTTCTTCAAGAGCCGGTGGCACCACAGATAAAATATTCTCAAATGGGAACCCCTTCCTCACATATGGATGTATTAGTTGTGTTTGTGTGTGTAAAGTTAGGGGCTGCACTATCCCAGGAAACAGGAGAGAAAATAAAATAGTTCCACAGTACTGCTGGCCATAAAGTTTCAAACAGGAAGAAAGGAATCAGTAATGTTAAAACAAATGGGAACTTGCACCCCAATATATATATCACGTGGTCCCAATTCAGTACAAGAGAAGTATAGAAAGAATAGTTCGAACTGGGGTACATTTGGCTGCTGTGCTCAGGCCCTAACACATCTTCAAGAAATAGACCTGGCACAGACATCTGCCATGATTTTTGGGGGGGGGGGTTCATATGCTTTTTCTGCACTGTTAACAATATATTAGTGCACAGCCTGATAAAGACTAGTATACATCAAATACATTGGATTTTTTAATGGTCTAATAAAGGCATCACCTGCCCTTGCTTTTGCATTGTCTTTTCTCTGTATCCTCACCTGGTCATGAGGATATGTATATACCAGCCATGTATTTGTACGCCAGTGTCTGAGGAAGTAGTCTTTGATCCACAAAAGCAACACTGAAATAAAACTGTTAGTCTTTAAATATTTTGTTTTTTAGTTTCTAAATTCCTTTGCCCTCCCCACCCTGTTGAGACAGACTAACATGGCTACTTCTTTCAAAAAAAGAAAATGGCACATTTGTTCTTAATGTTTTTCAGGAGTTGTGAATGCACCAATGTCTGGTATCTGTTGAGACAGACTAACATGGCTACTTCTTGCAAAAAAAGAAAATGGCACATTTGTTCTCAATGTTTTTCAGGACTTGTGAATGCACCAATGTCTGATATCTACAGTACGTTTCCATTTGGTTGACATGTAATATATTTAATTTCATATAGGCTTCAATTCATTGTGCGTTAACTGTCACACAAACCCTTGGCTGAGCGATATTTTTTTAAGGCAGGAAAAAAATAAACAAATACACCAAAGTAGATGTTAATGTATGTTAATGCCTTGTTTTAGATGAAAGAATGTTTTGAAATAATTTCTGAATATAGTTTTTAATCCTCCTAGAGATAGGCAAATGAGAACATAGAATCTAATTACAATATGTAAATGACAATAAATACCGTAATCTGCCTTGCAGGCATAGTTTATTCCTTTAATTTTTTGAAATTGGTATTACAATAATAAATTGGTTTCTGGCCCTGCACATAAAATTAACAATGTACAACTACATCCCAAGTGCTTTTTAGCCACATGTACTTTACACTGTAGTTTTCGTAAGAATGTAAGAACCTGCAGAGCCAGCGCAAGGGTTCATCTAGGCCAGCATCCTGTTTCTCAGAGTAGGCAGTTAGATGGGTCCAGGAAGAACATGTAGATGGGCACAAAACTGTCCCCCATTTTCTGCCCCCAACATCTAGAATTCAGAGCTCGACAGCCTTAGAACAAAAATTCCTTTTCACTGTCACAGCTAACAGCATCAAAAGATTTATTTGTCCATGCCTCCTTTAAGCCAGTTGCCATCACCACATCTTGTCACAAGGAAGTCTACAACCTCATGATATGTGGTATGGAGAAGCATTTCGTCTGTATTGCATTCACTGCCAAAGAAACCAATGAAGGTCTACTATAGGAGTTGGATTTGAGGATCCATAGGGTCTCTTCCAGCTCCACACTTCTAAGTTGATAATGATGAAATCTATAATACAATGTTTCCAAATTGTGAAGAGATTGTCTGAAGTGTTGTATGTCCTATCCAGAAGAAGGAAGAAGGGTTCTAAAACAGTACATTTGGGGCCTTTTCCAGACGAGGGAAAAGTCTTACTCCACTTCCTTCTGGTTCATCCCTGTTCTTCATGAGGGTATACAGGGCTTATTTTGATACATGTCCAAACTTCATTTTTAAAAAGCATTCTATCTCCAAACAACTTCTCTTTAGGAAACCTGAAGAAATGCTGTAATACATATACAGAAAGCTTCCTTGCTTTTTGTTTTTGTTTTCTTGGCTCCTTTCAGCTAATTGACAGTCTAATTGAAAGCTTCCACCAGAAACTCTCATTCCACTTGCCTCTTGAAACTGCTGTAAGTGCCTGTTTTCTCTTTCCCCATCATCCCCCATCCCTTGGAGCCCAAACTCTCTTCTATGAGTTTCCAGCTTCATCTTGTATAAGCAAATTACAAGTCTCCAACAATAGGGGATCTGCTTCCTGTGATGCTGCAGGAAGGATTGCAACTTAAAAGCAAAAAGTGGCTGCTTCTCATATTCATCTCCTCCTTTTTGCAACATGTGGCACTTTCACCCATTTGCATGCATCTAGCCATATCACTAAACTCTGCCACTGGAATGAACCGTAATAAAAACTAAACTGTACCTCAATACAAAACAAACCAGAAACAACCATAACTTTGTCCATTGCTTGAACCGAGACAAGCCGTACAGCATACAGATGGCAGAAAGAATACTATAATTAAAAACTGAAAGCATGTGTTTCATTACTGTAAAAGGAGAAGATACAGCACTGGAAGGTGGTGGTAGGGATATCATCACAAGGAAACACTATTGAAAATCAGTTTCCTCATCAGCGGAAGAGACTGAGGATTAAAATGTCACCTCGACATCTGGGGCAATGAGACATAGACCCTTCCACACCTAGGAGGCCTTTGTGTCCTGCGATCTGAATTAGAGATTATGGAGCACCAGACTGCAAAAGGTAAACTTGTATGAAATCTGACATATGGAATGCATATTGTCACAAACATTGTTGTGGTTTTCTTAAGATGCATGGAACTGTTCTGTTTGGGCTTGACTGGTCTCTTACATTTTATTTGTTGATATGCGGCCACCTGTGAAGACAGGATCACACATCTTCTAAAGAAGAAGAAGAAGAAGAAGAAGAAGAAGAAGAAGAAGAAGAAGAGGTGGCACAATGGTTAGCATGCCAGATTATGTCATGGGACATTGAAAGCCTAGTCACCCAACCTACGTGGAACTCACTGGGCGACCTCGTGCCAGTCACTCTCTTTTAGCCTAGCCTATTTCACAGCATTGTGAGGAATGATGGGGGAGAAGGAGCCATGCACACAACTTTGATCTCATTAGATGAAATGAGGGATATAAATGGAATGAATATATGAATCAACAATTAAGTCAGTGTATGCCTTGCACCATCTAAGCTTTTCTAGGAACAGGACTAAAGGCCAGGGTCAGTTCAAGGCTTTCAGAAGTAAATGTGCCTTGCACCATCTAAGCTTTTCTAGGAAGTGTGTGTGGGCGGGGGTGGGGCAGGACTAAAGGCCACGGTCAGTTCAAGGCTTTCAGAAGTAAATTTACAAGGAGCTGCCCTGAGGGGAAGGTTTGTGCAGGAGTTACACAGATTGTGTGGCATGGATTATAAAACATTCTCCCCACGCACTCAACTGGATCACTGTCTTCCTGGAAAATGGCCTATCTGCCTGAGTTGCTGGGATAACCCGCATAGCTCGATGACTGTATTTCTGAATGTGAACACAGATATACAGCCCTTCTTTTCAGCAGATCAGGCACTTCTGGAACAACAGTTGGGATGTTGTGTGACATGGTGTGCCAATAAAATTTCTCATCGGGCAGCAATGCAGGTACAAAGTCTATCTCCTCCTGTCTGAACGGATAATGAACGTTCTCTCAAGTAAATATGGTCAATAACCCCCATGGTTTCGATTTGTCTTTGGTGTCATTCCTGTGGTGAAGGCCAGAGATGGCACTTGAACCCCTTTCACACATGCTCCATAAGCCGTCTCCCCCATGGCCATGGTGGCTATTGG